AACTGACAGCTTAAATCTTTTCTCCACCTATCATTACGTTGTCTATTGACCCAGTGCTGAACACTTTTGTTTTCTTTTTTATTATTATCTTTTTATCATATATTGGTCTGCATATAAAATTTGTATACACTGTTTTTCATTAATATATATATTGTGTTTCACACATTCCTCTATGCATACTGTATTTCACAATATCATTTCCACACATTGTTTTATAAAATTAATCACCATTGATTCACGCCCATCGTTATTCCACCTTTTCAGGTCCCCACTGGATCTTTCCTAATTCCTTCAACCCTCTACTCTACCCACATAACACTGTGACTTCGAGTTCTCAACTTCTCCCTTTCAGCTCCCATCTTCTCTCCCCTTCCCCCTTTGGACTTTTGCATACATCTTACTAGTAATCCTTCTAGTTTTACAATAATAGTCTTATGTAGTTTTTGTTCCTTTGAGACTTAGTTCACTCAGCACAATGCACTCCAATCTCCCATGTATTTTTCCAAACCATTGCTCCTGAGGGCTGCATCGTATTCCATCATGTGATCATGCCACAATTTCTCAATCCATCTGAAGATGGACATTTTGGCTGTTTCCATTTTCTTGCTCTTGTGAATAACACAATTATGATCATTTGTGGACAAATCTCCATTTGTGCCTCTTTTCTAGATGAGACTCTGAATATTGCATAAGAGTGCCAAGAAGCCAAAGCTAAAGGAAGAAATCAAGAAATAAAAGAGCTGAACAGAAAATTTCAAAAGGCAGCTCGGGTCGACAAAGCAAGATACTATAATGAAATGTGCAGAGAGCTGGAGTCAGAAAATCAAAAGGGCCGGACTCGCTCAGCATTTCTTAAATTGAAGGAGTTGAAAAACAAATTCAAGCCATAGGTGGCAATATTTAAAGATAGTTTGGGTAGAATGTTGAATGATCCAGAAAGTATCAAAAGAAGATGGAAGGAGTACACAGAGTCACTGTATCAGAAGGAATTGGCTGACACAGAGGAATTTAATGAAATAACATATGAGTAAGAACCTATGGTGATGAAGGAGAGAGTTCAAGTTGCTATGAAGGAATTGGCAAAAAACAAGGCTCCAGGAGCTGACTGCATACCAACTGACATATTTCAACAAACAGATGTTGCCCTGGATGTGCTCACTAAGTTGTGCCAGGAAATCTGGAGAACAGCCAGCTGGCCAACTGACTGGAAGAGATAGATATTTGTTCCCATTCCAAAGAAAGGTGACCCAACAGAGTGTGGAAATTATCGAACAATATCATTGATATTACATGCAAGCAAAATTCTACTGAAAATTATCCAAAAGCATTTGGAACAATATGTCAACAGAGAACTGCCAGATATGCAGGCTGGATTTAGAAGAGGTCATGGTACTAGGCATAGTATAGTTAATGTAAGATGGACCTTGGCAGAAAGCAGAGAATACTAGAAGAATGTCTATCTGTGCTTCATTGACTATGCAAAGGCTTTTGACTGTGTGGATCACAACAAGCTATGCCTGAGTCTGAGAAGAATGGGAATCCCAGAACATTTGATTGTGCTAATGTGAAACCTAGAACAGAGCAGGGAGACACTGGATAGATCAAAATCAAGAAAGGGGTCCATCAGGGATGTATTTTGTCTCCATACCTTTTCAATCTGTATGCAGAACAGATCATCCGAGACGCTGGGCTCTATGAGGAGGAATGTGGCATCAGCATTGGGGGAAGAATCATCAACAACCTGCGTTATGTAGATGACACAACCCTGCTCGCTGAAACTGAGGAGAACCTGAAGCGCTTGCTGCAGAAGGTCAAGGACTGCAGTCTTCAATATGGATTGAAGCTCAATATCAAGAAAACAAAGATTCTCACCACTGGGCCAACTGGCAGCATCAGTATGGGTGGTGAAGAGATTGAGATAGTTAACAGTTTTCATTTACTTGGTTCCACAGTCAACACTCCTGGTAACAGCAGCCAGGAAATCAGGAGATGAATTGTATTAGGAAAGTCAGCTGTGAGGGACCTCTTAAGAGTACTGAAGTGCAACGACATCAGGCTGGAGACTAAGGTGTGCCTGATCCAGGCTACAGTCTTTGCAATTACGTGCCATGCATCGGAGAGTTGGACAGTGAATAGGGATGATAGAAAGATAATTGATGCCTTTGAGTTGTGGTGCTAGAGAAGAGTGTTGAATATACCATGGACTGCTAGGAGAACAAACAGGTTTGTCCTGGAGAGGGTGAAGCCAGAATGTTCCCTGGAGTCAAGGATTCTGAAGCTTCATCTGACATACATGTTGCAAGGAGGGACTGCTCCTTGGAGAGGAACATCATGTTTGGGATAGTGGAGGGACAGTCCAGGAGAGGAAGACCCTCGATGAGATGGATCGATTCTGTGAGTGGAGTGGTGGGAATGAATGTGTTTGAGACAGCGAGGTTGGCACAGGATAGAACAGTGTTTAGGGCTCTTGTACATAGGGTCACTATGAGTCGCAAACAACTCGATGGCACATAACAACAACAACAACATATTCCTAGTAGTGGTATAGGTGGGTCATAAGGAATTTCTATGTTCAGATTTTTGAGGAAATGTCACATTGTCCTCCAGAGTGGTTGTACCATTTTACAACCCTCACAACAGTGTATGAGAGTTTCAAACTCTACAAATCCTCTCCAAAACTTACTGTTTGCTGTTCTATTAAACTTTGTCACTGCTACTTGGGTGAGATGGTATCTCATTGTGGTTTTGATCTGCATTTATCTTATTGCCAGTGATTCTGAGTATCTCTTCATTTGTCTGTTTGCCATCTGAATGTGTTCTTCCATGAAAAGTCTTTCCATGTCTTTTGTCCCTTTTGTATGATCAGCATTTTTCTTGTGAAGGCCCTGTCGGGTTTTTTGTTTCCTTGACACTTGAGAACCATCTAGAAGGTTGTAGTCTTTGATCTTCTTCATTAAGAGCCTCAAGTCTTCCTCACTTGTGTAAATAGGGTTGCATCATCTGCATAACACAGGTTGTTGATGAGTCTTCCTCCAATCTCATGCCAAATTGTTATTCAGATAGTTCAGGTACTCAGCACACACATTGAATAGGTATGGAGAAAAGATAAAACTCTGACATAACACTTTTGATTAGCAACAGCTAACAGCAAAACTGTAGTAATTATCCTAACATATCATTAAAGAGTTTCACTTGAAAGATTTAAGACAATTCTGCCCAATAAAAACCGTAAACACTGACTATGAAAATGTTATAAAATAAAATTTTATTTAGTATTATCTATTATGTCATTATTAATCCTTCTCTAACAAAAACGATCTCTTTGCTATTAAAACCTTTGCATGCTAGGCAGGGCTCTATGCTTTATTTTAGTTTGGCTTCTCGAAAGGCTAAGAAAATTTCTCTATTTTACATAACCATTTAAAGATGAGATTTAAAACCATACATTTCAAACTTAAAATGTTATTTTCCACTATAGACCTTTTCTATCTGTGTTTTATTGACTATGCAAAGGCTGTGTGGATCTAACCTTGAGGCGAATAGGAATCTCAGAATACTTGATGTCTAATGAACCATTTCTAAATTTCAGAAGTTTAAAGGATTTCTAAAGATCACAGAAAAAAAATTATACTACAAAAGAGAAAGATGAAAAAGTCGTTTTTGTTGATCAAATTTACTTCAAATACCTTAATTCATGGAACACTTTATTGTACCCTTCCTGGATATTATTCTCCAGATTCAGAAAATATCAATAGCATACACTTCAGCCTAAAATATAATCTCATACTACTACCGATAGCTTGATACTTATAGACATGTTTATTAAAATCACAATGTAATAATTATCTAAATACAACAAACTTTCAATATTTAGTAGTTTAATGAAATGTGATAAACCTGATAGTACTGATTGACATTTATAATTAGAAAATAGGTTTAAATATTAAAGTTGTTTTTACTTATAAAAGTAAAAGAGAAATATATCTATAGTTCCAGTTTTTTTTTGTTTTTAAAAAATTTTATTAATTTTAATGAACATTTACAGAGATTTTGGATTTCCATTCATTCACTGTTGCATTTTTCTACCTGCCCACCCATCCCCCCATATAGTTCCAGTTTTAAAGTTTATATTAACGTGCACACTGTAACTGACAAACATTCTCTACAATCTGAAATTCTCTGACCTAAGAATAGAGCTATAAATGTTACTAACATTTATGTATTGATGATTTAATTTACTATTTGTAATTAAGAAAAAAAGATCTATTTCTTCCTTTTCAAAAATATTTCATACATAAAGTAACATTTCATTTTATAGATACTCTTGAATTACAATTTTTGAAATGTAACTATTAATACTCTGAGCTTGCTAAAGAATTTTCCCCCAACATTTTAAAAGAATTTATAAACAGAAAACAATACAGAGTAAAATCCAAATAAGAATTTTTTGCAAAATTTATCAATACCAAAATGAACTATTAGTGCTCGCTTCGGCAGCACATATACTAAAATTGGAACGATACAGAGAAGATTAGCATGGCCCCTGCGCAAAATGAACTATTAATTAATAATTAAATTTTAAAATCTTTGAGATGCTTACTTGGTAACAGTACTCCCAAGTAACACAGAGTCTCCAAACAAAATTTAAAAGTGCCAAATATGGAACCTTAATTTTTAAGAAACTACCTTACATATTTGAAGCATCAGGAAATTAAGTAGAGATATTAGAGACAGTAAAACAACATGCAAATCTGCAGAAACGAAATAACTGGAATTCATAATGTATCAACTCTGTTAAAACTCTGTAAGAGAGAAATATCTACCCTCTCATTGGTAGATGACTTGGAAATGAACTGGCCTTGCTAACTACAGTCTGGGGGAAAGGCTGATTACAAAACCTTCTTCCTCTAGGAAGTTGACATGTTACTCTTAAGACTTCACCTCTTGTAACAGCACCAGACACAGAACGATTCTGCTCTAAATATACGATGTCCACATACCAGTTAGTCGTCTTTGAAGCGCCTCCTCCTCCAGCGTAATAATATAAATTTGTTCATCCAAGTCTTCAAGAATCTAAATTTTAAAAAGAACTATTCAGTAACACATTACAAAACTAGTACCTCAAAGGATGTTTATCTTGCTATTATTTTAATAATGTAATTATTCTTATTCTTTAGAACCCAAGACAAAAATGCCCAAACTATTCTATTTGCAAATTAGTATTATCATTTTAACACATAACTAAAACAACAAAAAATTAACAATCACAAAAACTCCTACATGAACTTAAAATGGAAGCTTTTAAAGTTTAAAGGATAAATGAAACAGCTCTGTTTAGTTCAGTCAATAATGAATATATGAATGTAAAATTACCAAAAAGCTAAACACAGTAATACCTTTTTACATTTAAAGCAATGTTTTGGAGCCAGAACAAATAGATAATACAGGCTAACATTTGTTTTCTTTATTTACTTACAAAAATGTCTAACACAAGAAATTCATACACTGAATCACTACTGCCATGAAATATTTTCCATTTACATCTTCTTTATATACTAAAATATTGTAATTTTAACATTAGTATTGTCAATTATAGAATCCTATAAATGATAGAAATTTGGTAGTGTGTAGGAATAAGTATTGGACAGCTAGCCATCAAGTCTTTGGTTCAAATTCACCAGTCACTCTGAGTAAGAAAGATGAAGCAGACTATTTCCATAAAGATTTGCTGCTGTTGTGAAGTGCCATCAAGTCAAATATGACTCATAGTGACACTATGAACAACATAGCATCTTGGAAATTTTATAGAGAATTTCCTGCTCTATCCTATCGGCTTACTGTCAGAATCAATCTGACAACTTCAGGTTTTTATTCAATAAACAGAATCCCTACAAAAATTATATGCTTAAGTTTAAACCATTCATGATAAAGTCATATAGCTATCATTCAAAATATTAATGGACACTAATCAATTATCATTGTCTGAGCTATTATCTTTCACTGTATTAAAATTATTAAGACCTTTTATTTGTTTAATTTCATAAAACCTTTAATTTGTTAACCTAGCAGTCTTCCTGTGAGAAAAATCCTAACTACCTGCTCTGTTCTGGAGAAAACTTAAAAGAATTCCAGTTATTCCATAGGGAATAAAGAAAAAAAATGGCAAGGAACTGGTAAACCAAACAAAAATATGGGAACTCTATACATGAGTACCCTTTTAGATCCAAGTTAAGGTATCTCCAGAAATGTGGTTCTCAAATCATGTTATCTCTATCAGGTACCAAATGGATATAATTTATACAAAATTTATTAAAAGAATCCACTAATTTCAAGTTTTTTAAAAAGTATCTATGGTTTCTTCTAGTCTATACATAAAGATTTTATACATGCCTAGGGATTAATTAATTGCTAGGTCATAAGAACTCTCATTGTCAGGGAATTCTTATGTCTTACCACTTAACTAATAATGAGGTTTATATAAGTGCTTTACCATTATGAAGTCTAAAACAGAAAGGGAAAAGATAAATAGCAAAATAATAAATAAAATGTAAATAGACCTATAAGAATACAAATAATTACATAAGGGTGTAGTGATTGAGTATGAAGAAAGGTGAAGGTAGGACCCACTTAAATATACTATCCAGTAAAGGCCTCTCGAGGATGGTAACTTCTGAATGGAAAAGAGTCAGTCATGAGTCAGAATGTGTGAAGATTCAATGTGGTAAAGCACTCAGTACACTGGAAAGACTAACTGGATTGAAAATATTCAACCAGGAAATATTTTTTTTGGCAGGGGGAATAAGGTGTGCCTGATTCAGGCCATGGTCTTTGCAATTGCGTGCTATGCACCTGGGAACTGGACAGTGATTAGGGTTGACAGTGAAGAACTGATACCTTTGTGGTGCTGTAGAAGAGTATTGAACGTACCATGGACTGCCAAGAGAACAAACAGGTTTATCATAGAGAGGGTGAAACCAGGCTACTCCTTGGAGGCAAGGATTTTGAAGCTCCATCTCCTATACTTTAGGCATGTGGTCAGGAGGGACCAGTCCTTGCAGAAAAGGCAGCAGGCTTGGAAAGGTGGCGGGACAATGCAAGAGAGGAAGACCCCAGATGAGATGGATTGGCACAGTAACTGAAGTAATGAAGTTAGGTGTGTTAGAAATAGTGAGACTGGCTCAGGATAGAGAAGAGTTCAGCACTATTGTACATGGGATCACTATGAGTCACAGGGAACCTGATGGCACATAACAACAACTCATGATGGAGGTGGAGAGAGAAACATAGACCATATATTTTTTAACATGATGGAAAGTTTTTTGTCTTGTATTTGATTGGTTTTCTCTCATATATTAATGCTTCTCATCAAACTGTTTATATTTTTACTATTGTAATGTGATGTTGACTTGGAACGAATTCATTCATAGCTGACCCTCCAGAAGGTTTTCAGAAGCTGTAAATAGTACAAGAGGAGACTGCCTATTTTTCTCCCTCAGAGCAACTGGTTGTCAGTAAAACTCTTTAATTCTTTAAACACTAGACTGTTTTTTGTTGTTTTTTTTTTTTTGGTATTAACTTTATTCTATTTTCTGTATAACTTTAAGTACATAAAGGTTTATTTCCACAGGCCTCAGGAATGGGTAGAAGTCACAGGACAATGTGTTTTACCACCAAAACTGTTGCACATTTTGGTGTTTGTCCTAGAGGGAGAAATTGAAATTTACACTCACAATGCTGTGCAAGATTCTTACAGAAATCAAGACCTAAATCCAGCCTGCAGTGGAGGTTTTAGTACTCTGTTCAGGTGCCCTGACAGAAGCCATAAGCGGTTGAGCATGACAGGAGAAGGGAGGCAATGACAATGGATGACAGGCACCTAGCATAAAGAAGGAAGGAATGACAGATTTCTTGGAATGGTGTATTCTTGTTTTCCCTTTTAAAAAAGTCATCTCTTTAGGAAGGTGCTAAGCAGGGATCCCAGAGAAAAAGGTTCCATGACTCTTTTCAAATGCCCAGGGTGCAGGGCACTGCTATAGAAGAACCCACTATTTCATAGTTTGGGCAGACCCAGGATGGAAAGCAAAATAAAGGGAATGCTTATAGGAAACAATTTTGCTTGGAATGCTAGATGGCCAAGCCTCAGCCTTTGGTCCAGTGCAACCCTTACCTCATTCATTTATCAACAATGAAAAATTAGTTTGGTTAGAAGAACCAATTGGAATCATATCA